ATATATAATATATATATATATATATATATATATATATATATATATATATATATATATATATATATATATATATATATATATATATATATCATGTCATAGAGCCACAAACTTCGATAAATTTCATAATAACTTACATGATAAGTTACATTTTGTCTTGAGTCAAAATGTTATTGTCTTGGTGTCGTTGACTAGAGAGCCAACTGGTTTGATCTCAAAAGCAAAGATTTGTCCGAGGGATCCATTTGAGGGCAAGGGTGCGATCCGAATGGGGGGGTTGAGATGGCAGGTAGATTCCCAATATATTGTTGGCTCACAATGATCGTCCTACCATGGTCCTAAGGTACAACTTGTAAGAGAGCTTGGGGTCATCCCAAAGTGTGGCTTGTCCATGCATGGGAGTATTCAGCCTCATCCTGAGATACCTTTTAGATATGTTAGAGACCTGCACAAGTGGTCAACAACGAGAGGTTTCTCATCTCGACTCTTCGGACACTAAGTTAGTAATCTAATATCTCAAAATATGAGTTCAAATAGTTTAAAATGAGAGTTCTTCTTCTTCCCTGTTGTAAAGGCCTGTTGTAAAGAAAGAGAACGAAGTTTATGATTGTCATAGAAGATAGTTTAAGATTGTCTTTTTTATCATAAATAAAAAAAATTATGATTATCTTTTTTATCATAATAAATGAGAAAGAAATTTATATTTTTATGCTTTGCTTTAAAACTAAGTCAAAGTTACTTTCGTATTAAAAATGAGAGAATAATTAGTTAGCATATAGTACTAGACAAAACCGCTACATTTAGACTTCAATAGCTTAGACAGAGTTGAAATGTAAATGGAGAGACCGGTGGAGATGAGTCCAATCTACTCACATGAAGACGGCTTTAAACAGTTTGAACATGAAATGAAGACTCTTACTGAACTAAAAACTTGTGAGTCCATCCCCAGATCATGGGTTGATACATGATCTTGTCAATTGGAACAAGCTTACAAACAGTTTAGCTTCACTATTGATCTATAGATCCACTAAGAATGATGGAAAGGAATCGCCTTCTCTGTTCTTGTCTATGAAACAACAGCTTCGCTGATGGTTATTAGCTGATGAGAAGAATCTCAAACAATTGGATGCATCTCAGACAAATCTTTGATGCGGACGATGATGATCGTCGTATCATCAGTCCGGCCTTCGCGTTCCAACCACAGCTTGTAGGATTCAGCAACGATCTTTGAGCAGGCGTCGCGGGGATCCACAAAACTAGAAACCTGCAGTGATCGAGCGGCGAGGTCTTTAAGAGAGTGAACACGATGAGATCAGAACTGCAGGAAGCAAAGAGATCTTTGAGCGGCTCTCACCATGTCAACTACTGCTTGACTGGAGAGGAACTGGAAAACCCCATCGCTTGCTATGACGAAGAACGAATGGTTGTCAGTTATCTTCACCACCTTGATCTCCGGGACGGCGACAACACCGATGCTCTCCGCCACCAAGTCCCCGACGCTCCTGGTGAACATCGTCCCCGGATACATCCCATTCTGCACCCACAGCCTTGGCGGGTCGCCGCTGTCGTCGCTCTCCTCGTCGCCCTCGCTCTCCTCGTCGCCCTCGTTCTCCAATTGTTTCACTGTCAACACCCTCGCCCCGCACAGGCTCACCCTCTCGCACTCGTCCTTCCGCAACGGCGTGTGGTCGCTCGACAAGTCCTCCGCCACCACGCGGTCCCAATCCCAAACACCTGCCACCGCCCGCGAATCCCCTACGTTCGCGACGAATAGCGTGTCGCCCCGGATGAGCACCGTGATCGCGGTGGTGCCGCTCATCGAGTCGTCGATCTCGCTTTCGTGGAGCGCCAAGTTCGTGGCGGCGAAAGCCGAGTCGTACGCTTCCGCGGGGTTCTCCCACAGGCGAGGGTCGGCGGACAGGACGGCCGTGAGCTTGTCGCGGACGAACGCGGCGCACTCGGCACCGAACTTCCCGTGGCCGTCGAACACGCCGAAGAAGTGGAGGTCGGGGTTGCCCTGGAATTGCGTCATCACGCAGAAGCTGTCCTGGTTGGCGCGGTCCGGCGAGCCGGGGAAGTAGCCCCGCTGCGTGAGGGAGGAGTAATGCAGGCGGAGGCCGGCGGAGGGGACATCGGCGGAGCCGAGGGAGGCGGCGGAGAGGACGTGGCGAATGAGGTGGCTGTGCTGCTGCAAGCGGTCGTCCTCGTCGACGCGGGAGGGTTCGGCGTCATCGTCGGCGGAGGCACGGCAGTGGGAGCAGTGGAGGCAGCGGTTGCAGTTGCAGCCGCAGCCGCAGCCGCAGCTGCAGCAGCCCTTCTTGGAATGGTCAAAGCACTTGCTATGCACACAACCCATCCTACAACTTAAAGCTTCTATTGGCTTGCGGGATCAAATAGGAGGAAGACAGAGAGGAGTTGGAGGAGTCATAAGACCTTACGGTCTCTTTCTTTTGGCTAAAGAAGCAGATGCGGCACAAGAAAATGGGGTCAGAAACGCGGGGTTTCCCATCCATGGGTGGAGGAAGGCATCACCAGTTACCAGAAACAAGGAATAAAGATGTTTAGGCAAAGGGGGAGAACCACGTTACCGGTTGAGTGTCAAAGGAGATCGAGGAAGAAAGAGAAGCAACAGCATCTCGTTTGCTGGCAGCACAACAGCAGAGGGGAAGCTAAGGATCCCGATGCCCTTCAACATAAAATGATATGAGATGTCGGAGGCATACCGATCGATTAAGAACGAGAACCTCTGCGAACGCAGCTGGGCGTCACCCGATCAAAAGCAATAGAAAAAGAGAAGGGATGGGGACCGGAAGAGGAGGAGTAAAGAGATGGGGTGGGGATCTCTGTTCTTCCCGAAACCCGAGGGAATGATTTCAACCTGAAAGTAACTCTGTTGTCTCTTCGCCATACGTTTTCACGATTCCATGATGGGCTCGAGATGTGAACTAAATTAAAGATAAGGATGTTTATCTAAGAACCTACAAAACTACATCGGCAAGTAGATTTCCTTGTAGATTATTTGTCTACTGTGTAAATCTAAGTAGAATCTAATATTTGCACTTTGGATATGCATTCGTCAGGAGAGGTTGAAAACTCACAAGAAATAGTTCAAAGCAACAACAACCAAATCTGAAACAAAGGATTAAATGGAGAAAAGAATAGCCAACCCTTGCATCTAAATTCCCCCCCTCTCCCCCCCCCCCATTGACACTTTTGTCTCAATTCCCCGGCTTCATTTCACTCCCCCTCCTCCTCATCCTATTTGCAGCAGGTCTTCTCCCATCCAAACGATGCTCCCGACCTTGTCACGGGCGCATCAATGTCTTGACAGCCATTCAGTTCTCCTACGTACGTTAACACAAACCAGTTCCCGTTTCCCTCCCCATGCTATCTCTCTGCTTCCCACCTCTCTTTGCCCTTCACCGGCTATTCTTCGACCTCTTCAAGTCGCCTTACTCTTCCAGGGAGGGTGACGAGGACTTGTAGAGATCGTAAGGTGCCCAGAGGTAGTCGACGGCACATGGCTTCCTGGAGTCCAACCTCAACCAAGGCTTCCCTTTGCCGCTCCAGTGGAGAAGGCTAATGGGCCCTGGATGAAGGCTTCTGCACTTGCCTTCGATGTTGTCTCCGCCCAGGCCGTGCTGGTTCCACCTGTGATCGACTGCCTTTATGTTTCCGGCCAAGACTAACAGGAATGGTGGCAGGGAGCCCAAGTGGTAGATCCTCTTCTGCTTCTGCACTCCCATCCAGTCCTCCACCATCTTGGTGTACCCTCCCGACCTCCACATCTCCACGTCCATCACCATCACTCCGGTGTTGAAGTAGCAGGGCTGGCGGCCGTCGAACGTGCTGGAGAGCGTGGCGTCCGACCAGAACGCGTCGGTGAAGTACTTGGTGAAGTTGGCGTGGCAGTACTCCGGGGCGGCGACCACGTGCCCCTCGAGCTCCACCTCCCAGAGGTGGCGGATGTCGTCAACGACGACGATGTCGGAGTCGAGGTAGATGACGCGCCGGACCTCGGGCGGGAGGATTTCCGCGAGGTAGATGCGGGCGTAGTTGAGCGGCTGGTCGAGGGCGTGGCGGATGGACCGGGAGATGCGGCCGCGCACGCGGCCGGAGTCGAAGCGGTACACCCGGAAGTCGAGGTAGGGAAAAGCGGCGCGGATGCTAGCGAGGACGTCGGGCTCGAACTGGGCGGCGAGGAAGTGGAAAGTGACGCTCTCCGGGCAGGAGGTGTGCTGGAGGATGGAGAGGACTGCGGCCATGGTACCGCGCAGGTAGTTGGCATCGAGGGTCATCGCGATGTCGACGCGACCCGCCTCCGACGGCGAGGGGCACTCGTTCCCGTTCCGGAAGGCGGGCGCCTCGCGGAACGCGGGGACGGAGGAGACCATGCTCGACGGGCGGCGGATGACGTCGACGCGGATGCTCGAAGTGGAGGTGGCATTGTCCGCGACGGCCACGAGGAGGACGAAGGACAGGAGGCCTTGGCGGTACCGGTGAGAGGAGGCCATCCTGCCGCAACGAGGAGCGGGGGATGGCAGGAAGGTGGCGTCAGGGACGGAGGATAAGAGGAGGGGAATCCATGGGAGGAGGTGGAGGAGGAAGAGGTTAAAGGAGGGAGGAGAGGCGGGTGGGCGATAAGAGCCGCTGAGCTGGGAGAGCAGTCAATGAGAATGTGAGGAAGGGAGCGAAGCACGGAAGGGAAAGACCCATCGACGAGCCGTTTCGTCCCTAATGTATAGCTATTGCTTGTCGGGGGAAGGCGCGCTGAGGATGGGAAGGTGGTCAACGGAAGCAGTCCAAGGAGACGCAGCAACGAACGGGTTGATCCGCATCCGCATCCGCATCCGCATCTCCTCTACAACGTGTCTACTACTTTTGTTGCCCTCACCGTCGGATCTGATCAAGATCCACTTATCCGACCATCACGACCATCCAATTTATGCGGTCTCCTTCTCCTGTCATGCACACGGTGGGCCCGACTTTGTGGACCCGTTCAATTAGGTCACACGATACGGCACGATCTCTGCGGTCACTTCCAAGTATACACCACTCGTGTTCTCCACCGATGTCTCCTTCCCCCATTGGATCGGGCGAAGCCCTATAGGGGAAACAAGGCCTCCGCCATGGATTTCTTCAAATCGGTCTTCTCCGCCGATCCTGAGCCCGCGATCTCGCAGCACTCCCCTGTCGGATCGCCGCATGACGAAGAGGATCGAGCAAGAGAGGACGACCGTGGCAGCAGCGGCAGTCCGAGCCCCAATTCTGAGGCCTCCGCTGGCGGCGTTGGCTGGAGCTTCGGTGGTTTCATCAAGACGTTCGCCTCCAAGTCGGAGTCCGTCATACAGACCTACCGTCGCGACCTCGCGGAGTTCGGTACGGGGCTCAAGAAGGAGACGGAGGCGATCCGGGAGGCCGCCGCACGTGCCGTCGGCGACCTCCCCGGGTCACTCGAGGCTGGCGCCTCCGTTGCCCAGGAGTCCCTCGAGTCCGTTGGGCAGGCTATTGACGACCTAGGCGGCTCGGTGTGGCGGGGGACCGCTGAAATCGTCTCCCAGGGCAAGGAGGCGATCCTGTCGGTGGAGGCTGGAGCTGATTCCGCAGCTCAGCACTCCACCGAGCCCGGGCGGCCCAGTTCGTCCAGCTCTTCGAGGCGTTACAGCCGATTCGAGGTGCAGGTACTCGCAATACAGTCAGACGCGAGTACCTTCTCGGAAGACCCGGAGGACGCGGAGGACTTCAGCGAGTGGAGATCGGGGTTTGATTTGGCTGAGAAGGAGGAGGAGATCGAGAATCTTTGCTATGAGAATGGGGCTTTGGATGGGCTTCTCAACAATCTGGTTCCTGGTGTTGTGGACTACGAGACATTCTGGTGCCGGTACTACTATCGGGTGCATAAGCTGAAGCAGGCAGAGGATGCTAGAGCAAAGCTTGTGAAGAGGGTGATATCGAGAGAGGAGGAGGAGGAGCTGAGCTGGGAGGTTGACGATGACGAGAGTGAGGAGGAAGAAACCAAGAAGGAAGAACCGAAAGAGCAAAATCTCAATACAAAAAGACATGTCATCGAAGTAGAAAAACAAGAACAACAGAATGATGAGGAATTAAGGTCGACCATGGAGCCTGCAGCACAGCAAAACCCTGCCGAGGCATCCCAAGTTGAGAACTCGGGAGCGTTGGAAGCGAACGTCGATGAGGGAAAGACATCAACAGCTGGATATCCAGAAAATACTGAATCAATTGTTGGGCATTTGAACTGCAAGTTGGATGAAACTTTGGTGCCTGAAGGGAAGGCAGTGGCTGGAGGGTCAAGCAAGGACAGCGATTTTTCAGTTATCTCAAGCCAGAATTCTACGCCGGAGGAAGATGATCTTGGGTGGGATGAGATTGAGGATCTGGGTGAGCATGATGAGAAGAAAGTTGGTGGCTCCAGCGGGAGCCCTGTCAAGGTGGTGGACCTGCACAAGAGGTTCGGTGCTGCTGAAGAGGATGAGGATCTCAGCTGGGATATTGAGGACGACGACGACGAGCCCTCCAAGCCTTGAATTGAGGATGCAAGTATGTTTAATATGATTACTTTTCATTTCTCATGTGTGCAGCAAGGAGTTTGGTCAATAAAATAAAACTTGCTTCTTTCTTGTTGTGCATTTTAATGCTAATATACATACATTTAGACCAATTCACATGATTTACCAACTATTAAGTTCCAAGAGGATGAATTTGGTATAAGTGGACTTCATCTTGATGTTTCTGAAATATGAATGATTATCATGTTTTAGTGCAATAACACTGGTTTATCTGTGAGATTGCTTATCTATAATCTGTGCTGTGCCTCTAGTGGATACTATAGCAAAGTGAACATCTGACACACCTATGTTGGAACAGTTCTCTCTTTAGTTATATATGTCTACCAATCTCTTTAATTATACATGTCTTCTTCAAATGGTTACTCATGCTTTAAAGTTCTGATGCACTGTTGAATTGTAGCCTTTTGGATGGACTCTTTCTGTTGGTAAAAAGAAATCAGTATGAACTTATGATTGCGGTGTCATGATAGAATTTAAAAACAAAAACTGAGAATTCAATCAAAATTTTCAAAAGCATAGCCAACTGAACCCCTTGGCGTTCCTCGCCTCTCCAATTTTATCAAAAGAGTCTTCCCCTTCTATCTTTTCCTTTGCTACTTTCACAATAGATTTACGGATCTATCAAATTCAATAATTTTGTTGTTATCCACCTGAGATTTGAATAAACAAAGCCTCTTTTATTTCAAATTTGCTATGTAGTGAATTGCATCAGCTCTGTGCAGCACTATAGTATAATGCATACAACAGTACATGATAATGCTAGCTTGTATGCAGCCCATGATAAGAATCTTAAGATTATGGGACAAGTTTAGAAGGATAAACAAACATTGAGGACTCAATCATTTTTGAAGTGAAGAAAGGAAAAAAAAGATAAGACTTTAAGACCTTTTTATTCTATTTTTGGGATTCTAAAGAACTTTGTTTGTTTATTGTAGCTAAGTGAGATGTTTACATGTGAGCCTCTATAAACCCAAGAAGAAAAAGAAAAGGATGGTGTGGTAGGAGCTGGTCTTTCTTCCCCCATTTCCCACCATCTCCAACTAAAAGGAGAGAAGAAGAAAGAGATGTCCCTGTTTCTTTTAACACAACAACTAATAATTAGATTCTTATGTTGTCCTTTTGTTATCTTTAACATGTATGCATCTTGCTGCTCCTTAACCATAGTTCACATGTTGGCTGAAGGAGATGGTCTGGTCTATCATCTTTGGAAATAGTTTTCTTAACTGGCCTTAACTTCCAAATTTATACTGGTCAAATTTGAGATGTTATTACACCCATCTCAAATGCTTTAACCCAGCTAAAACTGGACTTATTATTTACAAGACTTAGAAAATGCCATCATTTTGCTGTTGTTAACTCTCCATCTCATTGCTGAGTTACATGTTTTAGGTCCATATATAAACCTTGCTGTGTAATTTGGTCTAATTATAAGCTGTGGTGGAAACAAACCTTCATCAAGTTGCTAGCTATACCAACAACCTATTACATAAGCAAATCTCCCAACTAATATTAGCTAAGAGATTTCATTTCTTACAGATCACATGTGATCTTGAATATGAGATCTATCATTTGTACAAATATGTACTAATCAATCAGTTATCGATTTATTATTATTATTATTATAGTGAGAATCCAATTAGAATTCTGTGATGGTTATTTTACTATTGCAGAGCATATTACTACCGTTCTGTGTTGAATTCTCCAGTTAGAGTTCTGATTACATCAGACTATCTGGGAGTTCCAAATTAGTGTCGATTGAATGATTCAGCGTAAATCTACCGTTGAAGATAACTCTTAACATAAATATTACAAAATTCTAACATGCCCAGTAGGGTGGATTCAAGCACTTCGCTACCTCTGCTACCCTAGAAACTTTAAAGAGAGAGACAACCACGCCGACGGAAACATAACTTATCGACAATAAATCCCCTCTCCACCATCTTCTTCACGACCATAACAACCCACATCCACTCAGTACTGCATCACAAGGCACGACAAAGAGAAGGCACCTCAAAAGCTGCTACTGTGATCTACGCTCGCACTTCTAGCGGAGATGGCAACGACGGTAACCTCCTCTTCTGGATGCGTGGGGGAAGATGCCTAGTGTACTTCTTGGGGCCGACAGTCCAGGGTAAAAACACACCGGTGCCGCCGCGAGGCGCCTTCTTGTTGGGGCTCATGACCATGGCTCTGGGTGGTGGTAGCATGACGACGGGACTGCGGAGAGCGAGTCCCCATGCAGCCGGGATCATCGCATGAGGCCCGCAGGCGATGACTCCGGTGGTGGCTACTTTCTGTGCAGGTTGCCAAAGAGCCATGGTTTTGGTCGGCTGCTGCAGCGCCGTCGGTGAATCTGTTGGATGACTGGCAGCTCTGACCTTCACGAATGTGATGATGATCCTCCGATTTGGTGACGCGCACACGACGTGCCTCGCCATGTCTGCGCTGTTGCCACGCATAACGAGGAGCGAACTGCAACAATTTGTGTACAAAAAAATGATTACTACACAAAATGGATGACTCCTGCGATACATCTGGGTCAGAAAACTGTGGATGGTCTATGCTGTTGCTTGGGTGGCAGTTTATCAGGAGGGTTAATGGTTTATGAGAAAAGATTCTGGGACTAGTTCAATCCAGTGACTTGAGGAACTGAGTTTGTGCTGGGTAGTCCTGTCCCTTCCAGAACAGAAGGGTTGTGATAAGTTCTGGTTTGGAACTGGAACTAAAATCAGTTTTAGACGGTTTTAATTTCAATTTGTTCCAATTTCAATTCTATATTCCAAGAATAAAAATCAAAATCAAACCACCAGAACCAATTTCAGGTCGATTTGAAACCATCGAGCCGTTGACCTAATTCGATTTTGGTTCTGATACAAGTTGATCTCAATAATGTTGTATCCTCTTATTTATGGTTATCCTCTCATGCTAAATTTGTAAAATGGATCAAATATGGAGGTCAATTTTAACTCCTGGGCTGCCTTCCTTTTTGAGCTCTCTCATGAGCAGAGCTATGCTTGTTTTAGACAGTTGAAGTAACTTAAATTTGCTGGTTTTGGATTAAGAAAACAGTGGATGAAAGAGAGCGTACCCTTCGTTTATCGATAATGTTAGAGGGCCCTTGTAGTTTCCTTCATGATCACTGACAAGAGAGCGTCCAAAAGCCATTGTAGTGTCAGATAGAAGAAGCGTGGAAATGGGATTGTCC